TGGGCGGCATAACAAAGTTTAAAAACAATAAAACCAATAACATACGAAAATCCAAGATGTAAAAATATAGATATTAAAATACAGCAGGAGGGAAAGCACGCCTAAATAGCCATGTTTTTAATTTACTTCTAAACTACTTTACTTCTTTCAGTTCTCTCATACATTAACTTTCCAAGTGTTCTCTTTTAAATCCTATCTTCCTTGTCTATCTATCTCTCTATATATCTCTATTCTTCTTCTCTAACTCTTCCCTTGTCCTAACTTTTCCTAGCTATCCACCCTAACTGATTCCAACTGTCCTCCTTTTTTCCCCTCTCCCCCCCCTTGGTTCTGCCCACATCAGGTTTCTAACATGATGGACAGGTGTGACATCTGGACTGTCCATCACAGTGGCCTTCTGTTTAATTCAATTTCTGCCACACTACTAGCAATGTGCTACAACATGGGTGATGTGATCAGTAGAATTGTGCTGTAGTATTTACTTGGAATGAAAGTTAAGGTACAAAAAGGATGCCTTAATGTTACTGTTTTCTAAATGAGGATGGAAAAAGCTGATATGTGGTTTGAATCTTCTTCCACATGAGGGTATGGCTTCATTTGTAACTTTTTTCTTTTTGCTGGAGGTTTTTCCTCTTTGGGAAATTGTTATGTATACTGTGCTTCTTTTGCTACATTACCTAGACATTTATATGATATGTTCTTGCGGTTCCAATACTTACCAGGTTGCAAGCAGAGTTATAACAAAACAAAGTGGTAAATCATGTACATTTCCTAATGGTAAGAAAAATCCTAGTATAATGTAGCATTGAAATACAGTACATACATTTTTATTCTCCACAAAATAAGTCCACAGCTGCTGAGCTGTGTTTAGAGAAACTACTAATTAGTAATCAAAACAGGATTTAGGCTTTACATATCCACAGAACACTTCCTCCAATTATGGCATTGTTAATACTTTTTATGTGGTAATAAATCAGGAACTTTATTTTCAAAAATAGTACTCCGGTTTTCTTTGCAATGTATCCTCTTGACATTTGCTCTACAATTACTATCTCCCAAGACTACTTGACATTAGTTTCTCCATACTTTGACCTTGCAATTCTCTATAGCCCAGTGAAGAACTTCTGAAATCCACTCTCTGTCAATAGATACTTAAGAACAATCCTGACACTGTAATTAAAGAAGCCAACAGAGGAGGAGACCTCTTTAAAAAATCCTGCCACTGAACTAGGTATTTCATCATTTTTTCCGGAGTTTAATTTTCCATTGACATTTTATCTTGTGGATTTTGGCATACTTTTGGCAATCTGTTGTTCTCCCATGTTATTCAGTATGTTATTATGTTATTTTATTTTTATGTTAAGGGGTGAAAGTATTTGTTGTGGATTTAATTCTCTTGTGTACACCACCCAGAGTAGTGAATTTTCACTCAGTTGGCTGGTATGTGTAAACAAAAAACAAACTTTTTCTCATGAAAAACTTAGATTATGTACAGGAGATTAAGAGGCAGCTCTCCAGTGCCACCAAGAAATGCCATATGATACTTGAATGCCAGAAGGTGCTACCTGTCCTGATGAAGGAATTCTTCATGAATGAACAAGGCCAAAACCAGAAGGACCCACCACGAATGCTTCAGTCAGGCACCTTCCATTTAATTGTCAAATACGCAGACTGGTTGACCGTGGACACCTCATTTTCTTGGGCATTTGAACTATAATAGTGGTACTGTCTAGAAACAGGACTCAATTTTCAGGTCACATGCCATCAGTATTCCAGACTAAGGGGCACCACAAACTTCCAGAAAAAAACTACAATTCATGTAGCAGGTTCCAGGGAAAACAATTTTAGTTGCTGTGAATGGCTTTCTGTTCTAACATCTCTGTCTGCACTATCATCCCATACAAGTCACCAGGAATGCTGATCCTAATGAGGCTATATGATCTCCAACATCTTGTTGCTCTGTACTTAGCCAGTCACTTCAGCTTTGTGAAGGACAAATACCTTCAGATCCAGAGGCGATCTTATCATTAGTCAGAGAGAGGTGGTGTTTGTCTCAGATGGCAGGACATGAGGGACAAAAAACTGCAAAACTTGTCTTTCCTCATATCACCACTGCCATACTTCCCTCAATGTACCCTGCACCTAAGCATTGTGTGGTAAGCAGTGCTACCTTTCCTCACCTTCTGCAGAGCTTCCTTCCTTCCTTACCTGCCCTGAGACACTATGGTTACCCAATGCTTTCCATGACTGGCCATTCATTATCTCCTAATCCAGAGCAATTGATTTTAAGGAGGAAGTGTTCTCTTTTAAGACAGTAGAAGAATGGAGCTCACTGTATATGATTACCTGCTGTAGAAATTTGGAAATGCGCATCATTGTGCCCATGTTTTGAATCAGGATGGGTGAGATTGAGTTATTGTCTGAATGTCCTTGCTTTTGGAGAAATAGTTGCAACAATGGTTATCAGTTTTGATTTATACTGAAGGGAGTGTTTTTAGTTGGGAAGTAGGTCTCCCAGGTTTTTGAAACTTATAAACACATAATTATAGACGTTGGGAAGAAAAATCTTTCCTTCCTAAACAATGTAAAATCAACTTTTTCCAACCTGTTATCTGAATCTCTAGTGAAACCACACCTAGTCATAAAAGAGAGGGAGCGTCCATTTAAGTCTGTATTTTAAAAAGTCAGTTCCTGCACACAACAAAGCGTTATAAATGTGCCAATTCTTAGACCCCCCCCAGACATATTTCAAGATCATTATTGTTCCTCCTAAAGTTAATCTTTAACAGGAAAGAATCAGGATTAGAAAAAAACATATTTGCAGTTCTGCATTGTTTCCTTGGATAAAAGGCACAGCTTTCAGAAGGTGATAGGACTGAGAGCTAGAACTGCAGCTCTGAATAACAGTTGTAAGTAATGAAAAGGCAGTAAGATAGGAGTGAAGCACAGTCGTCACCATTGCTTTCATGCAGGCACAAACTTGAAAACTTGTCTTCAACCTTAACTGTATCATGACATTTTGGATCCTAGTGCTGCCTCCTGTTGCTGATATCAGCACTGATTGTAGGTAACAGCTTTGGAGGTATCTGCAGGTGTGCTGGGGGGAGGAGATAGGGCAGTCTCCCCTCATTCCCACTGGCAGATGCCTTCTCTGCCAATGAATGGATGCCTCTAGTTCACCTGCCCATTCAATCACAACAACAGGTGGGTGTCGAGCACATAATCCATTCTCAAAGATACACACCCTGTTTCCCCAAAAATAAGACCTAACCTGAAAATAAGCCCTAGTATGATTTTTCAGAATGCTCAAAATAAGCCCCAGTTAAGTGAAACCCTGCTCTTCACCATTGTGCAGCATTGTTCCACAACCAGAAGAATATGACAGGAGTATAAAAAAATTCCGTGAAAATAAGCCCTAATGTGTTTTTGGAGCAAAAATTAATATAAGACCCTGTCTTATTTTCATGGAAACACGGTAAGACTGTAAGAAGGGCCCTGCTGGATCAGGCCAAGGGCCCATCTAATCCAGCTGCCTGTATCTCACAGTGGCTCCACCAGATGCCTCTGGGAGCACACGAGACACCTAGATGCCTATATCCTGATACCCCTCCCCTGCATCTGGCATTTTGAAGTACCTTCCTTTTAAGCCTGGAGATTTTACATCCCCATCATGGCTTGTAACCGGCGATGGACTTTTCCTCCAGGAATTTGTCCAATCCCCTTTTAAAGGCATCTAGGGCAAGTGACATCACCACATTCTGTGGCAAGGAGTTCCACAGACTAATAGCACACTGGGTAAATAAATACTTTCTTTTGTCTGTTCTCACTCTCCCAACACTCAGTTGGAGTGGATGTCACTTGGTTCTGGTATTGTGTGAGAGCTTTCCTGTCGCCAACATAAAGAGGATTGTGAGAAGAAAAGGCATATAGGGTTGCCAGTGCATCAATCCAGAAAGGTTTTTGTGCCTTGCACAGTGGGTCAGCAGATTGTAGCGGAGTCATCACTTAAATGATAAATCTTTGCTCTTGCCTCCACCACAGTGGAGTGAAGGGGAAATTGCAATCAGTACAGTGGTGCCTTGACTTACGAACGTCTTGACTTGTGACCATTTCGAGTTACGACCAGCTCTGCCTGCAAAATTTTGCTTTGACTTGCGACCAGAGCTTTGAGTTACAACCAGAAAAAAGGCAGGCAATTTGAACTGCTAACAGTTGGTCATCGAAGAGGCTGCTTCTTTGTAGCTCTTTCGCCCCAGTGGTTATAGTGTGTGTTTTTGGAGGAGGCTTCAGACTGCCTGGTACTTATAGTGTATTCAGACTGCCTGGTACTGCTTTCTGCTTTTTAAAATGCCTATTCTGAGTGAGTACAGGGTTTTGCAGTGTGGGTTCCGGCTGGAGGGGGGTGTCTTTGTTTGCTTTCTGGTTTTTTTCCAGCTAGAACGGATCAATCGTATTTCCAGTGGGTCTTGCAGTCTTTGTTTGCTTTTCTCTGTGTTGTTCCCCCTGGCCTGAATGGATCAATAGCGTTTCCGATGGGTCTTGCAATAGTTTTTTTGTTTTTCAGTGGGGTTTCCCCCTCATCTGGAATGGATTAATCGCGTTTCAATGTATTCCTATGGGAAATGGTGCTTTGTGTTCTGTTTATACCGTGTTTCCCCAAAAATAAGACAGGGTCTTATATTATTTTTTGCTCCAAAATGCATTATGGGATTTTTTCAGGGGATGTTTTATTTTTTTTCATGTACAACAATCTACATTTATTCAATTACAGTCATGTCATCATCTTCTAGTTGTTGCACAATGCTACACAATGGTGGAGGGTAGGGTTTCATTTAACTGGGGCTTATTTTTGGGATAGGTCTTTTTTTGGGGGGGAAAGGGTAGTTTAAAAAGAAAGAAAGAGAGAGAGAGAAAGAAAGACAAACAAAGAAAGAAAAAGTATATGACCTGTATTTCTACATATTTGAAGGGTATACTGACCAATTTTCCCTCTATCCTAGTTGAATATGTCGTGGAGTATGATTATGATGCTGTGCATGACGATGAACTAACCATTCGAGTTGGTGAAATCATAAGGAATGTGAAAAAACTAGAAGAGGAAGGATGGCTAGAGGGAGAGCTAAATGGGAGAAGGGGCATGTTCCCTGACAACTTTGTTAAGGCAAGTATTTTATGTTCATCTCCATTCTTTCTCATAGGTATTATTTAACTTGAACTGTTAGATTGAACCTGAACTACTTGAAATTTAGCTTCAAGACCAGAAATTATTTAAACCACCATAAAACGGAAATTCTAGAATGGTGTATTGGAAACTATTGTCTAATGTTGTAAATTTAATTTTTTTAAAAACTAATTAGCACTGTCAGTTTGCTTATTCTTTGTAGTTTATCACATTCCTTTTGTTAAAGATCTCTCATCAAAGTTGACTTGCAAAGCTTACAAATTGGAACTTAATTTTTTCTGTACTTCAGTTTCATTTGAACTCTGGCCTGCAACTGAAATTACAATTGTGCAAGAAAAGAATTAACTAGTTTATACATGTCCCAATTTAGACATTGTAGTGAATGTTTGGCTGTTGAATGCAGCCTCCATACATCAAACTACCTGTCTCCTTACCATAATGTCTGGTTTAATTTGTATAATACCATGATATCAACATGGCATCAATGTATTAGATGTTGTAGAATTGGAAGGGTAGATGGAATAGTGTACAGTGTATAAATACCTTTTCGTTTGGCATTTGTCTGTTGGTTTTGTTCCTCAAAAAGGACTTCGATTTTTGCCTTTTCCCTGCATAATTAGTTGTTTAGCCCTCATACCTGGATATCAAATTGTACAGAATGGATTAGAACTAGAGTGCTGAAAACATGTCTATGTCGTGAAAATGGCTGTGTTAGATTATATGTGTGAGGGATTCTCATATGTGAGCTAAAGCTATCTGGATTAGTTAGTGTATTTGTAGCGTTCACCCTGCTTATGAATATATATATATGTATTTTATACATATATATAAATAATTGTATTTTATTGTGTTGTTAGGTTTATGTTGTTTAGGTTGGGTGTTTGTTTAATTAAACAAACACCCAACCTAAACAACATAAACCTAACACCACAATAAAATACAATTACATACTACACCAGTGTCATCTTCACCCTCAGGGCTAGCATTAATAATATTTTTATCATTTATTCAATCAATTTTCTCTCCAACAATTCATTGTTTTTCCCCTTGACATATACCCCTTCCCTCTCCTTGCAAACGACTACATCATTTTGGTGCTGTACCATTTCCCCAAAGGTTTAAGACTGCCTGCGTTTGTTCAGCTCTCAATCTAGTATGCTTTAACTCTGATCTCATCTGTTGGCTATCTGCTTTGATATTACTGGGTGGTAGTCCTGGGAGGAGGAATATTGAGGGATGTGATAAAAAAATATTGTTAGCAAATAATATCCCATTGCCACCATTCTTCATGCAGAAAAGATTAAAATTCTGGCCTTACACTGCATGGGTTTTCTGATATTAAGTCCCACTAGGTTTGGCCACCTGCATCACAGAGTATAATGGGTGAGGAACAGAAGTAAAAACAAGTGCACACAAGCAGGGAAAGCCTAGAAGCTCACGAGCCCCCTTGAAATGAAATAGGAATAAACCTTCATGCAGTCTTGGCTACTTCTTTCCACTTTTGCAACTGCTCATATGCTGCAGCTCTGTTCTGGTAAAAGGTAGAAAGGTCAACATTCTTCTCAGGGCGACATAAACTGATGGTTTCAGTATAGCACTTAATGGCTTGCTCATATTTCCCAGCTTTAAAATACTTGTTGCCTTTGTTCTTTGCTGCTTGGGCTCCATCAAGAGGACTCATCTCCCCTCTGGGGCCATTGGGCTGCCCTTCCTCGGGAAGATTGGAGGGTCCTGGGCTGGCCCCTCCTTCTGGGATCTTCCTTTTGCTTGCGCCTTTGCCGCCGCCACTTGGCATTGCTCACCGCCACCAGCCCCACAGGTAAAGCGCTCCGACACCAATCAGCAGCGGTGCCCCCACTACCTGAGCCCATCCTGCCCCCACCAGCAGAAGCCTCCATGGGCTTGGAGGCACCACCAGCAGCGGATTTTCCAACCCAGGAGAGCCCACCTACTCCCTCTGTTTTTTGTAATGCTTGCCGCTCATGTCCCCCGCAGCCCGGCTGTTGTGTCCTCACGGACCACTGCTGGTCCACGGACCAGGGGTTGGGGACCCCTGCTCTGAGTTGTGCGATTGGATGCGACTCTGCCCCCCTCTGCACAGGGTTCCTCCTCCTCCATGCACTTTGGTTCTGGTCATGATGAAACCCTGGGGGGGGGGTTCATGAGAGAGATGCAGAGCCCCTCCCAGAAGGGCTGAAAATTAGAGGGAATTTTATTTACAGTATTTATTTATTTATTTACTTGATTTCTGTACCGCCCATCTGGCAACCCAGGACACTCTGGGCAGTTTACATAGTATAACAAAACAGAGTATAAAACAAAACAATACCACAACAGGACAAAGTATAAATTAATCAATGCAATATTAAACAAATAAAAATAATAGCAGTAAACATAAAAATGAAAAAAGGAAAACTGCCCAGTCTGGGAATGTCTTGATTAGCTGTATTCATGTGTTCAGAAAAAGGTTGGGAGAGGATGCTAGCCCACAACTAGCCTGTTGCTCTCTTTGCATGAAGAAGAGGAAACAGCACGAAGAGAAAACTGCTGCAATTGGAGTCTCCCCATGCAATTGGTAGCCTTGGTTTTCCATAGCCCCAATTATGTCAGAGAGACTCCATGTGTAGTCGGCGGTTTGCTCTTCAAACCGGCTCTTTCTTATGGCGACAGCAACAGGCAGGAGGTGACACTAGAACACTGTGCCTACTCATGTGGTAAAGTTAACTCTTTTCTGAATGAATTAATGCCTGAATGAGACTAAACAAACTCCCTAAAATGTCAGTTGAAGTAGAGATTTTAAAAAGGAGAGTTGGAGCCTTTATTTGGAAGGAAAATAATATTCAGTTCTTGGTTGGCAGCTCACAGAAGTTTTCACCACTAGCTGTGCTGGCCAAGGTTTCTGGGAACTGCAGTCATGTTACCCAAGGTTGGGAACCACTGGTTTAAAGGCTAGCTTCTTATGCTCACTACCATTCACAAAGTGGCATCATGCAAGGAAAAATCCCTCCTTTGATTTCTCAATGAAAACCTGTCTTCTGACTGTTTATGTGACCTTTAATTGCCCTCCAGACATCTCCTTTCTGGCTCACAAAGCTACAACAATGCTCTTGTTGGTAAGCCTGTCCCACATATGTTCGGTCTTACAACAAAGTGGTCGATTTTTCCCTTTGGAAGGGCCTTTTTTGAGGATCGGTATTTCAGCTCTTGCAGCCTGGATTCTTTCCAGATTTTTTTTAAAATGGTCTTTTAAATTTGTATGAACTATTTTAAATCGGGATATTTAGGTTTGGTTGTTTCCACAGAGGGGCAAGGAAACAGTTTTACATTTAAAAAAATTATGACTTTAATATTCTTTGCCCAAACGTCCCCAAACTTAACATAGAGCTAGAGCAGACTGTATGCTAAATCTGTGCCAAAATTGGTGCTAATTCAATTTCAAAGTTAAAACATTTTGTTTGAGCTGCCTCCATTTTTAGAATTGCCTTGTAGGATGTTGTTTTCCTCTGCTGCACAATAATTCAGCTGCTCAACAGACTTAAACAGAGACCGTTCTCTCCTGTCTGAGTATATTGGAATTATAATTAATTGCTGTGGCCAGAATCCAGTTGTAGAAATGCAGAGTACAAAGGCAGTTACTCAAGTTGTTCCCCCCACCCAGTAGGCTGTGAACAGTCAATGTAGTGAGCATGCAACTACAGTGGGCCCTCGAGTTACGAACGGCCCTAGTTGCGAACATTTTGGGTTACGAACCCCATCTCATCGCGAGTAGTAGACCTACTTGAGAACACGGATCGAGTTATGAACCCAAAAGGCAGGGAGAAAGGGTGGGAAATTTGAATTTCCTGCCCTTCCTCCCTGCCTTTGGAGCTTTCGAAGGGCTTCCTCCGATGTCGGGGGGAAGCCCTTTGAGAGCTCCGAAGCCGCCGATTGCGGCGGGGGGGACCCCCAGGGAGGTCTCCCAGGGCTTGCACACCACCATGGGAGACCTACCTGGGGTCCTCACCGCCGCGATTGGTGCCTTCAGAGGTTTCAAAGGGCTTTCCCCAACATTGGAGGAAGCCCTTTGAAAGCTCCAAAGGCAGCGGAGCTCCGGGTGGCTAGAGCAGGCCGGGGCCCTGGCTGCTCGCCCCCAGCCGTGCGGAACCAGCGGAGGGGTGGGAGGCTAGAGCAGGCCGGGCTCCTGAAAAAAACTTCTGTGTGAGTTTTGGAGGGTGGGTTTGGACTGGGGGGATTATGTTTCTGGTTTTGTGTGTGTGTGTTTTTGCAGTCCCAATGTGCTCTTTTTATTTTTATTTTGGTATTTTTTTGAAATGCTGGAACGGATTAATTCCGTTCCCATGCATTTCAATGAGAAATGGTACTTCGACTTACGAACTTTTCAAGGTACAAACGTCCTTCCAGAACGGATTAAGTTCTTAGTCGAGGGCCCACTGTAGTTGCACAAAGGGCAGCTTGCTGGAGAGAGAAAACTGCTGCATCTGTTCTCAGTCATCCCCGAGTGCAGGACACGTTCAAGTTAAAAGGGGCCATCAGAAAAAACTTAGATCCGCAAGACAGTGGAACCAGTTACCTTGAAAGGTGGTGAGTGCTCCAACACTGAAGGCATTCAAGAGAAATTTAGACAACTACTTGGCCGATATCCTTTGATTGGTACTCCTGCATCAAGCAGGGGTTTGGACTTGATGGCTTTGAACTTCACTATTTTATGATCCTATTATATTTGCTCCTATGGTAGTGTGGGTAGCTTTTGCAACAGGATTAGGTGGTGTTTCTAACTGACAATCACTATTTCTCTGGCAATAATATCTGAATTTCTTGATTTAGTTCGAAGTATTTACATTTGAAATAAATATTTCTTCTTTTGTGAAGACAAAATATAACTTTTGTCAAATGGTATTCTACTTATACTCTGATATTAGTTTGTGATTCTGATGAACTGTTTATGAATTTGAAAACAAATGCAGACACATAGCTAAGGA